CTAGTTAGCTAGTTAGCTGATCTAGTTTATTATAGATTATTTATTATAGAAGGTTTTATTAGTTTATTTCTCTTTGACTATAAAGTGCTTCTACATTTGAACCACATTTAAGGAAATTGATGCTCACAGAACCAATGAAGGGCATGCAACGATATCAAAACTCTCTCCTGTCCCGTCCCCCCCCCCCCTTTTTTTTTGGTCGTATTATTTTGGTGAAGTCATTGCTGACAGCTCTCCCTAACACCAAGAAAAGCAACGATGCAGCCTCAAGCATTAGAATGTTATAGATTATAAAAGCAAAAAGAGGAAGTAAAGTACTCGAGGCACGTTCATACTTCATATGGAGTCTTGAAACTTTTGATGCTTTTGCAAAAATAAGCCTCATTTTCAAAAACTGTCATACAGACTGTAAAATCAATTCCGTTTTTCAATTGCCTCTGAGGATGTTTTTAAAGAAGAAGCAAATCCCTCTGTTCACACTTAGTCTGAGGTTTAGAATCATGAAGAGGAAGTGAATATCCGGCCAGAACAACTGTCTCAAACACAACTATAGTTTTAGGCAGAGTTCCAGTTCTAATGTGTCTAATGTGAGTACTTCCATAGACAGGTGATGAAAATGTAACAAAACCAGTTACATCAAATAAACTTCTATGACAAAGTATTTCTATTTGAAGTACTTCCTGGGCGTTCTAATCAGACTAATGGTTTTTAAAAGACAATTTTACTGACTGTTACAGGCAGATAATATTCAACATTGCTTGCTAAAAAACACACAAAAAGCAAAATACTCTCTCAGTTTACAGCCATGCTGTTTAAAATGCCCCACTGGTTTGTGTAAAGTTTGCTAAATATACAAAACCATTTTGTAAAGCAGAGACTGTTTTTGTCACGGTATGTCTGACTGGTAAAATAACACTGTTTCTGCATGCAAGTGGTGCCAGAAATATGCCTGTCTGTGTATTACGGTTAAATATTTAAAAGACTGACTCACCAAATGAACGCCACTCTTCAAAGAGTCTGACTACACATCAAGTCCAACTGAGTTGAGCAAACTCAAAGAGAAGAGAACAAAATGAATGTCTGCACCGTTGCTTCATTTCTCAGTGGTTGCTTTAGTGACTAACCGGCTGCCTTTGAGGCAGAGATGAATATTAAAAGATATGATTTTAATCTCTTCTTTAAAAAAAAAAACCTTTTCACACCCATGTAAGTCAGTGTGAACAGCACAGTTACTTCAGTCTGTGTTTGGTGTGTCAGTTTGGGGAAGCAGATAATTAAATTAGTGGGGCTTTTTGTGCCCACAATGACCAAAAAACCCTTGTTTATTATAATGTTGATGTCTTATGTTCGCATGAGAGACAAGCATTGTATATTGAACATGAAAAGGTCTTATTTATTCAGAAATTCTCCTGGAAATGGACACAGTAAATTATTACGTCACCTGTGACACCATTCACAGTGGTTTCCTGTTCTCCTCTGTGTAGTCAATGGTGCAAAGGTTAGTGAGAATTAAGTGACTTCAGTGGAAAGCACCAATAGGTGAAAACAGGTTCTGTCTCTACCTGTGTGTTTGTTGAGTTGGACACGGTCCAGTTTGGCTGCTGCTCTTATGTACCACACCAACATGGTGATGATGCCTCACCTAATGGTCACTTCACTAGAAATGCCACAGCCACAAATTGACTTGGCGCACACATGGGCATCAAACCCAATGATTGACGGTAAGAAATAGGATTCATACCATAAGATCAAGCGGCAACAGTAATTACAGCACGTACTTCTTTGTTATTGAAGTCTGTAATGTAATGTGTATTTGTAATGAACGCATCGAATGGTACACCAGTGTAACGTTTTTCAAAGTGTATCATCGGGAACCTTGTCAATGTGGAGCAGAAATATGTCCAACTTCTGCTGGAACACATATCGCTGTACGTCCTTCTCGTGAATTTATTTAATTAGCAGTTAACAAAGGCGAGATTCATATTGTGAATTGCATTAAAAAAAACAGTGTTCCAGCGGCAGGTGCGTACTGTAAGGACACACTGGAATGAACGGTGAATGAAAATGAAGATATTTGAAGGTTCTTGTGGGTCTCTGCCGATTTCTGACCGTTGCTATAATTTTTTAACCCTTTATTCCACTCAAAAATCATCACAATAGCAGTTTGTACTGAAGATTTGTAAAAAAAAAAGTAGTTTCTTTAGAATGCAATATTAGTTTTGAACACTAGCGGTAGCTGTTTGACATATTTCTCATGTGCCATATGTACCCTCTTTCAGCAATTAGCTGAAACGTATTAAGGCATAATAATAATAAAAAACAGGAACATAGAAACACTCAGAGGAGTCCTTTAAAATCTTTCTTTTACAGAACATTTCCGTTGTTGAACAAGAGTGACTGATTCACTTGTTTGTGACCCAACTCAGTGTATTGGTCACATTAGTGACTCAGCCTCTGACTTTGTCATTACACAAGGATACTGCATTTTTATTATGGCCCGATAATAGGATCATTTTTATTTTGGAGCATACTAGGTGGGTGTGCTTTTGTTATTGTCGTCGTTTAATGAGTCATCAGTGAAGGACATGAAAAGTTACCATGAAAAGCCCAAAATGGTCATGAAAGACTGGCCTTGCTTGTTCTCAGATAATAATCCAGATCCTTGACCAGATCCTTAACCGTGCACAGACAAAGCACTGCATTATTTTGAAATTCATTTAAGAAAGAAAGAGGGCTAGAATGAGAAAACATTTTGTACAGTACAGTCTTCCTTCCACGGCCTTAATGTCTTAAACAGGAGGGATGTTTCCAGTGTTGGAGGAAGTGGAGTGGGTTTTAAAAGTAAAAGAGGGATTGTTGTGAGGGAGGGAGGACAATGACATACATTGTAGGTCTCACTGTGACCGCCTCCAATCAACTATTCATCACTGGCCATTTTTAACATGGAAAAAAAAAGCTTTGTGCAAATAGCATGTAGTCCAGCTGAACCCTAATGTGGACTCTGTCAGCAGTTACGGTGGTCTAAAAAATATTTGAGTCAATGAGTCGCAAAGGTGAGAAAGTGTCAGCCTGGCTGTAGGCGAAGGCTCCGGCATCAGCTGAAGGTCTTC